GGGTAACTAAGAAAAAAAGTAGGACTCGGACCTCAACAGATGCAGATAGCTTTATTAGCTACAAAGGACAACAACCTTCCCAAGAGAATGGAGGTTGTAGGTAGGGTTGGGGAAGGTCTGGGATTTACAGGTGGGCCCAGCAAATCCCAGAAAGGGGTCATGCCTTCCCGGAATCCTAGAAGGTGGGTATGCCTTCTTGGGTGGTAGTCTGCTCCTTCCTAGGATCTGGGAAGGAGGGATGGGGAGTCCTGATAAAAGGAACCAGGTATTTTCTGTGAGGTGGTTGGTGAGGAACCTGATCTGCAGGGAAGCTGATAAGGAACCAGGTGTCTAGGCTAGAGGCCCTGTGTTCTGAGATAGATGTGTCTCCCTCCTGGAGTCGGGAGGCAGGATAGGCAGGTGGTCAGTTCACTGAATCATTTATCAGGTTAATTTTCCTTCAAGGATTATCTAGATTAATGGAGGTGGGAGACCCATCCTAACTACCAGACAAATAAAGGAGGAAAGGAGCTGATCACCAGCATCCATCACTCTCTGCTTCCTGACTGGGGATACGTGACTAGCCATCATGACTTCCCTGCTATGACAGACTGTACCCTCAAACTGGGAGTCTAAATAAACCTCTTTTTCATTAAGTTGCTTTTACCAGACTATTTTGTCACAGAAACAGGAAAAATAACTAATATTGGAGGTTTGGGGCAACACCAGAAGAGTGTTTTATCAAACAGAACTGCCTGTGGCAATCCTAATGCGGAACACACTGAAGACTCACTGGGCAGCACAGCGACATACAGACTGGCTTTGGAAGTGGTCCATCACTAACCAGGCAGTGGAAAACCTGCATAGGGGACACTGGCCTCATGCTGTCCCAGAGGCTATCATGTCTGTCCTTGGGCAGGCTGCCGCCAGAGCCCAAACCTTGCTAACAGTATAGCCAGCCAGGCCCAAGTCCCAGCCCCTTACCCTTCCTGACCCCCAGGAAGTCTGCAGGCCTCAGGGAGGCACTGGCTGTTGGGACCTTGAGCCACATATCGCTCTTTATCTGCAGTCGTGGCTCTGCAGCACCTGGGCTTGGGCAGAAGGGCAGTAAGTCCAAGTAGCCAAGCAAAGTGCAAAGACCTGGGTTTCCCTCCTAAAGGACTTATGAGGTAGAGGCATGTGTGGTGACTCAGCCCTGTCCCCAACCTCAGGACAGCACTCCACGGTGACCATGTGAAGAGAGGCTGCTGTTGTTAGGACGGGCAGCCACCTGACCCCAGAATGAAACCCCTTCAGCAGCACTTACGGAACACCCTCTAGAAGTGCTTACAAGGCACTGGGCTAAGTACCATCGGAACCTTGACCTCGGAGGCTACATCACCGCTGGGGCAGGTGGTGGGAGGGATGCTGTGCCCACTCAGCTGCCCAGGGAAGATTCCAGAGAAACCAGGGACTGACTGGCTATAAGCCCTGTACTCTGTAGCAATGTGAAGTCTTGCTTTAGGATCTCTAGGTTTTCCGGGTTGACCCAGCTGCCCATCAGGGACACACTCACCAGTAGACGGAAGGGTTTATTTATGTGAATTAAAAATTTTTGCTTCATTTGTTTCTATTTTATGTGAGTGTTTTGCCCCAGATGTGTGTGTATGTGTGTGTGTGTGTGTGTGTGTGTGTGTGTGTGTGTGTGTGTAGGCCAGGGGATGACTCTGGGTGTCATTTTTCCTCAGACAACCTCAACCTTGGTTTTTTGATGTTGCTGTTTTTTGTTTATTTGTTTGTTGGTTTTTTTTTTTAAATTTTGTGTGTACGCATGTATTGCCTGCATGTAGGTAAGTGCATCTACTGTCGGATCCCCTGGGACTGGAGTTACGGACAGTTGTTAGCTGACATGAGGGTGCTGGGTTTCCAACCTGGGTCTTCTGCAAGAACAACCAGTGTTCTTAACTGCTGAGCCATCTCTCCAGCCCCTTGTTTGTTGTTTTGAGACAGGGTCTCACTATGTAGCCCTGGTTAGCCTAAAACTCTATGTAGACTTGGCTGCCCTAAAATTCAGAAATCTGCCTGCTTCTGCCTCCCAAGTGCTGGGTTTAAAGATGTTCTCCACCACACCCAACCCAACTTAAAAAAACTTTTATGTTTTTTGGATTTATTTATTTTTCTTTTATCTGTATGAGTGTTTTGCCTGCACATATGTAAGTGCACCTGTGTCATGTAATGCCTGTGGAGGCCAGAAGAGGGTGTTGGATCCCTGGAAATGGAGTTACAGACAGCTGTTAGCCACCATGTGGGTGCTGGGAATCAAACCTGGGTCCTCTGCAAGAGCAGCCAGTGCTCTTAACCACTGAGCCATCTCTCCAGTTCCCTAATTTTTAAATTGTACTTTATGAATGTTTTGCCTGAATGTATATACATACACCATGTGTATGCAGTGCTGTTGGAGACCGAAAGTGGGAGTCAGATCTCCTGGACCTGAAGTTACAGATATCTGTGAGCTAAGCTGCCATGGGGGTGCTAGGAACTGAACCTGGGTCCTCTGTAAGAGCAGTAAGCACTCTTAACCCCTGAGCCCTCTCTCCAGATCTCCTCTTCCCCCAAACTTTGTTTTTTGAGGCAGGGTTGCTGGGAGTTCGAACCAGCGACCCCCGGGGAGGTAATGATTGGGGATGAGTAAGCACGCTGTTCACCAGCCCACGCCACCCGCATCACCCAGGGACACTCACAGGCAACGGGGAGTCTAGTCAAGCAGGGACTCATTTATTACAGGTGTTACAAAGCTTATAAAGGCACCTGGAACTCCCCCCTCCCCCAGAGGGTGTATCTTAAGGATGGTCACACGCTGATCATGCACTCCTCACCAGTGCGGAAGTATTCTTCAGAATTTCAAAGCAAGCCAGGCCGCACCCCCAGTAACTTCCTTTCGGGCCTATGCAAGGTGGGGCCTTTAGGTCCCCACACAGGGTCTCTCGCTGGTTTCTGGGGCTCACTGATTAGGCTGGTGGCTCATCAGTGAGCACCTGGGTCTTCCTGTTTCTGCCTCCCCAGTGCTGGGATTACATACACATACTATACCGCCTTTTTATGTGGGTGTTGAGGATTAAACTCTGGTCCCCAGGCTTGCATGGCAGGCACTTAACCGATTGAATCATCTCCCCAGTGCCAAGCCCCAAATCAATAATTAAATGTTGTAGTTTAGATGACTGTCCCCCAAAGGTTCAAGTATTGAAAGCTTGGTCCTCAACCTATGTCACTGTTGGGAGGTTGTGGAACCCTTGAGAGGTACAGTGCAGAGGAAGGGTTATTTGGGGTGTGTCCTGGAGGGGACTTCTTGTTGCTCTGCTTCCTGGATAATGACATAAACATTCTGTGCTACACACACTCCTGCCAGGATGGGCCATCTTTGCCAGAGGCCTAAAGTCATGGGGGGTCACTGTGCTGGATAGCTTTAGTTGTCAATTTGACACACCTGGGGAGAGGGAGCCTCAGTTGGGGAATTGCCTCCATTGGACTGCACTGTGGCCTTGTGATGTGGGAGGGCCCATCTGCGGGTGGTGCCATCCCTGGGCATGTGGTTTTGTGTTGTATGAGAAAGCAGGTTGAGCATGGGCCAGGGGACCAAGTCAGTAAGAAGTGCTCCTCCATGGCCTATACTTCGGCTCCTGCCTCTAGGTTCCTGGCCTGAGTTCCTACCTTGGGCTCCCTCTGTGAGGAACTGTGACCAGGGAGATGTGAGCCAGATAAACCCTTTCCTCCTGTCTTAGTTTGTTTCTTCATTTCTGTGACAAAATACTCTGACCACTACCAACTTGGGGAGGAAAGGGTTTATTTGTCTTACATCTCCCAGGTCACAGTTCATCACGGAGCTCAAGGTAGAAACTCAGGGCAGGAACCTGGAGGCAGGAGCTGGAGCACAGGCCATGGAGGATCACTGCTTACTGACTTGCTCCCCTGGCCCCTGCTCAGCCTGCTTTCTTATGTAACACAGGCCCACTGCTCAGGGGTGGCACTACCCACAGTGGGCTGGGCCCTCCCACATCACACAACAATCAAGAAGATGCTTCACAGACATGACCACAGGCCAGTTCAATGGAGTCAATTCCCCAATTGAGGCTCCCTCAACCCAGGTGTGTCAAGTTGACACTAAAGCTATCTAGCACACCTCCCCAAGTTGGTATTGGTCAGTGTTTCTATCACAGAAATGGAGAAACAAACTAGAACAGCCACCTAGTCTTAGGCTGGAAACTCAGGAACAGGAAAAATAATCCTTTTCTTTTCAGAACTTAATTGTCCCAATTCTTTTGTTAGAATAACAAGAAGCAAAGACATTGACCTTGTAAAGCTTTACTTAAAAATGGATCCAGTCATCATTATGTTTTCAAATCAATACAGAATTGAGAATTGACTTCCATCGATCAACATACACCATTACTTCCTGGAAGCCAACCAACCTCCCTCCCTCCCTCCCTCCCTCCTTTCCTTCCTTCTTTTCTTTTTAGACAAGGTCTCTCTATGTAGCCCCAGCTGGCATGGAGCTCACTATGTAGACCAGGCTGGCCTCTACCTCCTGAATGTTGGGATTAAAAGCATGCAGCACCATGTTTGGCATAACTGCTATTCAAGTAAATCAGGGCTGTGTGTTTCAAAGTCTTCAGTTGCCGTAAGGATATAAAAGTCTCAGCGCTGGGGCTGGAGAGATGGCTCAGTGGCTAAGAACACTTGCTGTTCTTCCAGAGGACCTGGGTACCATTCCCAGCACCCACATGTTGGCTAACAACCACCTGTAACTCCAGTTCCAGGGATCCAACACCCACTTCTGGCGCTTGCGGGCATTGCATACACATGGCACGCTTACATACATGCAGGCAGTACACTCATACACATAAACTAAAATAAAATTAATAAAAAAGAAAATGAAAAAAACCTGTCTCAGAACTGTTACCCTCCCTGAGGGCCTGGGCCTGGAGTTCCCTTCTCAAGGACAGAAGCTAGAGTGTATATAGGCCCATGGATGGCACTCCGAACTGTTAAAAGGACGTTTCCTTGGCAGGCATAGGGAGCATGTGAGGTTCAGCCTTGGTCACTTCTTTCTCTTCTGGAATCTCTACACCATTTCTCTTGGCAAAAATGTGATTTATCTCCACAAATGTTTTGCCTTTGGTCTCAGGAATCACCAGGTAGATATAGATAGCAGTGAGCAGGCAGAGCACAGCAAAGATGATGAAACTGTAGGCTCCAATGGCTACCTAAAGTCGGAGGAGGGTGATGGAGAGGGAGACACTCATGGATACACTTGCAGCCTTTGAGAGTCAGAGGGACTTTCTTGGTGGCCAATTTTATTCTATTCCTTTCGGGGGGAACCACACATGAGCTGGAAAACTGGGCCCCACCCTAATCTCCCAAAGGAACTTTTGGTCTTTGGCTCACAGGGATTTTACTGCTCCTGGTCCTTCCTGTTTTGGAAGTCTAGAGTCTGGGTTTGTCTATTGACTCAGAAGAGGGAGGCAGCTAAGGGTTTGTTCCTGCTCTGATACTTACTTTCTATCGTTTTTAGTCTTCACAGCCCAGAACCCCTCAGCAATTCCTAACATGAGACATGGGCTCCCCTTTACATGCGGGACATGGCATACTAAAGGATTGAGAATTGGGAATTGGCGGGTGTGGAGGTACATGCCTCTAATCCCAGCACTGGGGAAGCTGAGGTAGGAAGATTTTGAGTTCCAGGTCAACCTGTCTCAAAAACCCAAGGGCTGGGGATATAGTACAGTGGTAGCACAGTGGGCTCTTGTGCATGTGAAGTTCTGGGTTTGATCATCAGCATTAGAAAATAATATAAATAAATAAATAAATAAACAAAATAGATAAATAAAGTAAGGTCACAGTGCCTCTTACAATGAAACATCTGAGTGCTATCTGTGCTCTGTCAAATTGACAGATGTTTACTTTTTTGATTTTTGTTTTCGGCAAGATTTCATGTATCCCAGGCTGGCCTCAAACTGGCTATGTAGCTGAGACTACCCTTGAACTCCTGACCCTCCTGGTCTCCGCCTCCCAAGTGTTGGTGTTACAGACACACTCCACCACACCCAGTTTAAGCTTTGTTAGGGCTTGAATCCAGGTCCTTGTGCATGCTAAGCAGGCACATGTCTAGCCCCTGGAAGATGTCCTTTATAGGAAAGGAACTGTTCATTTGAGGTGGGACAGGGTGGCCAAGGATGGGCATGAAAGGCCAGTCACCTGGAGGGATGGGAATGCCAAGCCCACGATGAAGTTGGTGAACCAATGCACAGTCCCGTCCACCATGAAAGCAGCCGTCCGGGAAGACTGCAGGAAGATCTCTGCTCTTACCACTGAGGGGACAGGACCTGGAGGGCAGCAGAAGGCACATGATTAAAGAAGGAAGGTTCAGAGGGTCCCGAAGGCCGGACATGACCTGACCTGAAGTTACACCTCAGACCCTCAGAGGGCCTCACCTTTCTGCATGGGCCACCCTTACTGGGACTGGGGACTACAAAGAAACCCCCCTTTACACCCAAAATGACCTGAAATGCCTGCTTTGCAGACCTAGCTCGGAAAGCTCAGACTGCCATTAAGTATCCCTTCCTCAACTGGATGGGAAGTTTGTTGGGAAGAGGGGGCCGGAAACCCTTGCTTTTTCAGTAAGGGCCATTTTGAAATTCTTGCTGTCAGGAGGTTGCTGAGCTAAGTGAGCTCCTGACTTGCATGCTGCTGCCCCCGTTGGCGTGTGGGGGGATGGCAGTGCCAGCTCCCCACCCCTTTCCCAGGTCCAAATCTTTCTCAGTCATCTTATGGTTGCCCCAGTAAGGAGCCGCATCTCAAATGTCTATAGCCATGTTCCCCCTGAAGTCCCACCTCCATGGGAAAAAAAAATTAGTTTTAGGACTGGGCTAGTGGTGCATGCCTTAAGTCCCACACTCGGGAGGCAGAGGCAGGTGGAGTTTGAGGTTAGCCTGGTCTACATAGCAAGTTCCAGGTCAGTCAGTACTACATGGCGAGGCCTGTCTCAAAGACAAAAACAAAGAAAACAAAACAAAACAAAAAATTATCTTTTAAAGGCCGGTGAGATGGCTTAGTGGGCAAAGACACTTGCCACCAAGCCTGACAACCTGATTTCAACCTTGGGCCCCACATGGTAGAAGGAGAGAATGGATTCTATCAAGTTGTCCTCTGACCTCCACACAGGGGCTATGGCATGCACACCCACGCATACACACCATAAATAAATAAAACATAATAAAAAATTTTGGACAGGTCTCATTTTATCCCAACCTGGCTTCAAATCTATCATATAGTCAAGAATAACCTTGAATGCCTGATCCTCCTGTTTCTGCCTTCTGAATGCCGGGATTACAGGTACTCACTAACATGACTCGTTTACGGGATGCTAGGGATTGAACACAGGGCTTTGTGTGTGCTAGGGAAGCACTCTACCAACTGAGCTATACCCCTAGTCCTCCATGAATATTTAATATCACAGATCTGCTGTGTAGCTGTTATTGTCTTAAAATGCACATGTGTGGTTTCACCTAACAGTTTCTGATGGGGGAAGGAGTGGCCCAGCAATGGCCACGATGAAGGTGCCCGGCCTCAATGGAGCAAAGAGAGTAATTCAAAGCCTTAAGAATCATTCAGCACTGGAGTTGGAGAGATGGCTCAGCAGTTAAGAGCACTGACTGCTCTCGCAGAGGACTCAGGTTTGGTTCCCAGCACCCACATGGTAGCTAATAATCGTCCATAACTCCATTTCCAGGGGATCTGATGCCCTCTTCTGACCTCCGTGGTCACTGCATGACATAGGTGCACTTACATACAGGCAATACACTCATACTCATAAAATAAAAATAAACAAAGAAAATATTCAAAAAAGAATCGATCGGCATAAAACTTCAAAAATAAAATGGGACCCCTTCCTTAGGGCTCTGCTCCCCAAAGTGCAAGTCAGGGAGGCTATCTGTTAAGTTTTGTCTTGAATGTCCTGTCAGCTTCTGGTCTGATCTGATCTGCTGGGACACCTGGTTACCAGGGAGGAGAAGTCCCAGGCTCAGAGAAGTACAGGGTGACTCCAGATGCCTCACAGACAGGGGGCAAGGGGAAGCCCATAACCCAGGCTTTTGATACATGCCAGCACCTTCTTTACTGGGCCTCCTTGTATACCAGGAGCTTATTGTCAAACACCCTACTTCTTATATGAGCTTAGACCTCAACATGTGGGTCACAGGGCTGTGTGTCTCTCCAGGGCCAGGCACAGCAGAGTGAACAGTGATTTATGGACACCTTCCGAAATGCAGACCCCATAGGGCATGCTATTTGTCATAAGAATCAGTGGTGCGCATCTCCAAGGCAGGAGGGATAAGTCAAAGAGAGGGGGGCATGGAGTCTGCAAAACTACCCAAAGGTTTGGCCCAGGCAAGGTACTCACTGAAGCCACTGGCACATGTAGATAAGGCAGCTCGGGACTGTATGCTGAGGTCAGTGGGGAGCTAAGATAACCAGCTGAGTGTGGGTGAATCTAGAGGCTAGTGAGCCTGTGGAAGGTTGGAGGATATCACAGAGCTGGCATTGGCTCCATTCTTTTATTTTATTTATTTATTTTTTTTATGTGTATGTGTGTATTGCCGGCATGTAGGTAAGTGCACCCGTGTCATGCAATGCCCAAGGAGGTCAGAAGAGGGTGTCGGATCCCCTGGAACTGGAGTTACAGATGGTTGTTAGCCATCATGTGGGTGCTGGGAATCGAACCCAGGTCCTCTGCAAGAGCAGCCAGTGCTCTTAACCACCGAGCCATCTCTCTGGCCCCGCCTTGACGCCATTCTTGCATGGCTCCTTTCCTTGCTAGATGTGATGCTGGTCACCTCTGGGAGCTACAACCTGACTGTGATAGTGGATGGTTATTAGTAGATATTGGTTGAATGAATAAATGTCAACTGGAATGGCTACCAAGAAAGAGATAATCTGAGAAAAGCCTTTAAAATGAGTGGATCGTGGCTGGAGAGATGACTCAGCAGTTAAGAGCACTTGCTGCTCTTGCAGAGGACCTAGGTTCAGTTCTCAGCACCCACATGGTAGCTCACAACTATTTGTAACTCCATTTCCAGGGGAATCTGATGCTGTCTTCTGGCCTCTGCAAGCTCTTTCATGTGCATGATGCCCATAAACTCATGCAAGCGCACACATATATATATAAAAATAATAAAACAATTAAAATAATGAGAGAATTTCAGCTGGGCATGGTGGTGCAAGCTTTTAATCCCAGCACTCAGGAGGCAGATACAGGCAGAGCTCTGTGAATTTGAGACCAGCCTGGTCTACATATCAAGTTCCAGGTCAGCCAGGGTTACATGGCTGAGATCCTGTCTCAAAAAAAAAAAAAAAAAAAGAGTGGATCTCTTCAGGGGTATATCTGCGCTGCTGGTCCTTTGGGGGTGCATTTCAGCGTGTGACTACGGGTGGATGGCCCCACACTGATGTACATGCAGGCTCAGTGGGTTATAAAACAAAAAGACTAGGGTCTGAGGTGGGAGGGGGCTTGTTGGAGGTTATGGGGGAGTGGGAGGGAAAGTGGTCATGGATATGATCAAGCTATATTGTATCTGACGTGTACAAAATTGATAATAAATTTTTTTTAATGAGTGCTTCTAGAGCTAGGAGTGTAATTGCAATCCTAGCACTTGGGAGGCCAAGGCAGGAGGACTGTGAGTTCAAAGCCAGTGTATATATAGTATATACAGGCTATATAATAAGATTCTGTTTCAAAAAAAAGTCAAAAAGGAAAAGAAAAAGCATGGAAGGATCTGCACGGAGACAGAGGATGTGTTTGAAGGGGAGTGGTAGAAGGAAGGCCATGACATCATGAATCAAGGACAGCTACTCACTCAACAAGTATTTATTGAGCACTGACTGTGTGTGCTCAAGGCTCTAGAGATTGGTAGGGGTCAAGGAAGCATGTAGGTACTTACTGGGCCCAATGGAATGTCCCGAGATATAGGCGAAGACGCAGATGATGCTAAGGTAAGACAGCTCAGGGACTGTGCTCTGTGGGGGAAAGCAGCACTGTCTCAGAGAGCCTGGCCTGAGACCTCAGCAGGCCTCAAGTCAAGAACCTCACTAGAAGATGGGCCCACCTGCTGGTCCCACCTTCCTGCCGAAGGAATTCTGAGTCCCACAGAGGCCTCAAGGGCTCTGGGTAAGAGGAAGAGGAAGGGGAGAGTAAGGATGGAAAGACGGGACACGTGGTTTGCAGAAGGCTGCCGCAAACCTTACCTATCTGACTGTGGTGGGATACAAACAGATTTGCCTTTATTTATGTTTGTGCAGCACTTCAGAGGTATAACATGCTTTATCTTTAGTTCACCCTCTCCGAGTGAGAATGTTATTTTTTTCCATCCTACATATGTGGACTCAGAGCTCAGAGATTCCTGAACACAGACTGTGAGGACCTCAGTCTCTCAGAGATGGAGCAAAGGATTGTCATATGCTCAGGGTGACAGGGTGGGGATTTCAACTCATTTGATGATGGTCTGGAGAGAATCCCTCTAGGGGCTCTCAGGGCCATGGAACCCAGACCGCCTCTTTGTTTCCAATGGTCAGAGAAATGACTGATAGAAAAGTAGCTCAATGAACTTCAACCCAAATGAATAGCAGGCTCCAAGCTAACTGGCCAGCTGGCTAATGATAGGCTACATGCTGCAAGGGAGCCATGACAAGGTGGGATGCCATGGAGGATGGGAGGATGGACAGTCACCAAGCCTTCTGAGCGGAGGGACATGATCTGATAACCTCTCCTCACTTTCCTTCCCTCCCTCCTTCCTTCCTTTTTTTTTTTTTTTTTTTTTTTGGGTCTTTTTGAGACAGGGTCTCCCTGTAGCTCTAGCTGCCTGGAACTCACTCTGCAGACCAGGCTGGCTTTGAACTCACAGAGGATCTGCCTGCCTCTGCCTCCCAGTGCTGGGACTGAAGATGTGTGCCACCATGCCTGGCCACAAATTGTTCTTTAAATTGAGATATCATACTGAATTGCATGTTTGCATCTGTGGCACAGGGGAGCAAAATTGTTCATAAACTTCACATTGAGAATGGGGTTTATACAACAGCGGTCCTCTATGCTGGTTAGTTTTCTAGTCAACTTGACACAAACTAGAGTCACCTGGGAAGAGGGAGCCTCAACTGAAGAATTTCCCAGATCAGAGTGAAATGTGGCCACGTCTATGAGACATTTTCTTGATTGATAGTTGATGTAGAAGGGTCCTGCCCACTGGGGGCAGTGCCATCCCTAGGTAGGTGGGCCTGGTGTTGTGTAAGAAATGTAGCTGAGCAAGCCAGTAAGCAGCGTTCCTCCACGGCCTCTGCTTCAGGGTCCTGCCCTGACTTCCCTCAACCCTCTCCTCCCCAAGTTGGTTCGTTCAGTGTTTTATCACAGCAACAGAAAGCAAACTAGAACATCTGTGAGAGGAGCATGCAGCCGGAACAGACTGAGAGCAGCTCATGGGATCAGGACCGCGCACCCCCAGTGCGAATCCCCAACCACTGGGCAGGAAATGAGAGCTGACCTGGAAGAGAAGAGCCATTGTCAGCACCAGGCAGGAGGAGCCACAGATGCCATAGCCGACCAGCAGGAGGATTCGGCGCCCCACACGCTCTATGAGGAAAGCCTGCACAAAGTGGTGGTGAAGGTGGTGAGGAGCCTCTGGGCATTAGTGGTGGACCCCGAACCTCTACCCTCTTCTGCACAGCCCTCTTTAGGTGTCCCTTGATGGC